ATTTAGAAGCAGGGAAGTATGTTAATTACCTGTTCTGGAGCTTTCTCAGATACCTTAATCAATTGCTACGGCACCTCACCACATAGCAGTGTGCACAGCAGGAGGTGCTGCACTCATCTGCCTGGTTTAAAGTGCTGAGACTCAGTACATAACACTGTAGCATTCTTTCTGGCAAGAAAACAGTATTTCAACTTCCATTAGTGAAAAGACTGCTAGAAAGGAATTCATTAAATGTTCTACTATTTTATTGCTCATGAAGATAATTCTGTAGTCTTCTGTATGTGCTAAAAAAATCAGTTGTTAGGATATGTGAGTATTTTATTGCTATTTTATAAATGTTGTTCTTAGAAATGGATCATAGATGAGCCACAGTCTTACTTGGCTCTGTATAGCTATCATTCTTTAAGGAAAAGGTCTCTTAACACTCCTGCTTTAAGAAAATAAAAAGGACTAAGAATACATAAATACATCCATTATAGAGAAAACATTCAGATATTAAGTCAGGAGCACTTGAATATTCTTCCTAGAATGCATCATGTTAATCCAGCCATCAACAAAACAAAGACTTCCATTTCTGCACAACTCTCTCTCCTCAGTTTTGTGCAAACGGAGCTGCAGTGAGTGTTGCACATAGATGGAAAGTAGACACCAAAGAGGAGGATTCACTGAGTAAATAACTCACACAATAGCGATCTCCTCTTGTTTTCACACTAACACGTTACAGGATGTTACAGAACATGTAACAGTATGCAACAGAAAAATAGTTTATTTATTTTAGTATTTCATAAATCATCACTTGACAAGAGAAAAGTTTGATGACAGGTCACTAAGCAATGCAAGAAAATATGTCTTTTTCCAAAAAAACAGTATTTGTTGGCCCCGTGCTCAGTGAGAGCAAACACTGGGAGCTATCACTAGCATGTTGGCCAACTGAGATTAGTTGCGAGGAAAACTGCTATGAAGCCAGTAGTCAGTTCACTTAACATCCCTGTTCACTGCAGAAGAATGAACAAAGGAAAGTTCTACGTGCAATACACAACAGGCAAAGCACGGAAGTTCACATTTTTCAGTACGTGACTTTGACTTATTTCTGGACTTTTTAAAAAGCATGCACCCACAGTATTATCAGCATAATGCAGGCTTGCTCCAGCTAAAAAGGTTCATTTTGGCTTTTGTAAAATGTACACACTGCTGAAGAACAGATGCACTCTTGACTTTTATCTTCCTAAAGAAAACTGAAGGCACAAACGAAGATAGTTTACATCTATTAATGCACTTATTTTACTACATTCCTTGACAATTTTAAACCAGAAGAGACAGGAATACATCATGCTACAGTATTACCCATTTTAAAAGCATCCAATTTGTTACAGATGTTAGACGGAAACCTTATTTTTTTAAAACACTTACTTAGGATGGTTCATGTTAAAATTCTTGGGGTTGGGTGAGGGGTTCCTGCTGTACTATTACTGCTGCAGTACAAAAACCCCAAATAGTTAGGAACATTCACCACTGAATGAATTGTTTAATCTAGTTAGCAGTTCAGTTCATTCCTGGATTATTGTTAGAGGGGAAAAAAATCCCTTTATTAGTCATCCATGGGAATTTTACAAAAATACAACATAGTTATTCACGCTGAGAAAGAAATGGTGTCCCTGTGACACAAATCTCGTGCCTCACTGTGTTCCTATGCAGAGGTACAAGGTACGGTAATTGTTATCCAGTTCCCTCAAAACCAGGAACCTGTAATACATCAAAAGATCTGAAAAGGAGGGATTAGAAGACAGATCAAAAGACCAGACATCAACAACTTAAAGGATGCAGTTACTACACAGCAAGAATCAGTTCTGTAAGTACATCAGAGGGAATTTCAATGCAAGTAAGGCAGGATGTACGTGTTGAAGAATGCCTTGGCAATAAAAAGGAAATATTCAGTTGCCCTGGCCAGCAAGTGGCAATAAGCATATACAGTACAAATACAAGCCGACTCATTCCAACAATTGCAGCATTCCATCAAACTTGATACATTCCCTCTGGAGCAGAAACTTGTTCGTTATCTCCTGTGACAAAATGTCCATTATAATGGACCCCCAGTGAGAGGATTTGGTCTGTGACAGATTGAAAAGAACTATATGTACTTAGTCATGCAAAGCCTGTTTAAATATTGTGACAGGTTTCTGACAACTCCTGAGAGCTGGAGACTAAAGGGAGATAGAACCCATGAGATTAACCCTGTCTGAAGGCTGGTAATTTCTACAGCGATAACATAGACTACACAGTATCGCAGCTGTTTTGTTATATGGCATCTCAATAAGGAGTTTGCAAAATTTCACCAGTGGCTTGTGAAGTTCTGGCTGGCTTTGAGTCTACTCCATTGTAAGCTGGAGTGTCGGCTGCCCAGATCCTGTTGTCAACAGGCCTTAGAAGACTTATGTCCGAAGATCGTGGTATAACTGTCCTTGGACAATGGTACTGAGTTTCTAGTGTCCCTGCCTGCCAACTGCAGAAAACCATTCAGAGATCCACTAATGTCACACTTATTTTGATATCAATGCTGCTATCAGCTACTGGCCAACAGCATCACTGCCTGTGCTGCCTTTTTCAGCACAATCCCTCTGCGTCACTTTTCTGTTTGATCATACTGGCTGCTTTACTAAAGAGATTCCACAGGCTCTTCTTCAAAGACTGAAAAGATACCCGTAGATTGGGATTGTCCAAGGCAGAAGAATTTTATCACTGTATATCAGTCTTTCAGTTGGGAAAAGGGGCGTATTTCTGGGAGGGCACGTACGTAAGGAACAAGCCTAAGCAGTAAAGCTAAGCCAGATGTGCTGGACCAAATCCTTTGTAAACAGGAAACCTAACAGTTCTGAGGATGCTCGCCCATGTTCAGAACTAGCAGACTGGGTATTTGCTAGGTTTTTCAGCGAGCCAAATGTGTTTAAGAGGAACGGTGGGAGGACTGCAACTGCTGCAATCTGAGAAATATAAATAGGCACAGGGCATGTTGTACCCACGCACTTCACACTAGTTTAGTTCTGTATGCACAGAACACACCTGTAGCATGATCCCAACTACATGCACTCGAAGAAGTGCACCCCGAGGAATAAACAATCAGGTTTTAAAATTAATTACACCGGTTTTGTATAGCTTTTCTTTAAAATTTAATAAAATGTTGCTGATGTTGGCCTTAAGGTTGGTATAGAAGCATTGCCAAAATAAATGCCTGGGTTTTGTCCTTTTTTTAAAAAAAAGGGACAACTTCTTTTCCCTCTTAAACTTTCAGTGTTAGAGATCGGTCACATTTACCAAGCATGACTGTTCCACCTCTATTCTGCAGTATTCTTAGGCTGTGATCGTTACTGCAATATCTTAGTGTCTCTTAGGAGCTGAAACAGACCTGATAGATCTCAAATTCTCATCTGGCATTTCAAGCAAGACAGCTGCCTGAAAGCTTCACTAGCCACTACACCCAAGAGCTGCAAGAAAGTGCTTTTCTCAGCCAAGTCTTTCTAAAGCTTTCCTTATACTTCCCGCACTCATCCCTTATGACTGGCACACTTTGATCTGTCCATGGTTACTTACCAGATTCAGCCTTTGAAGGGCTACAGCTTTTGTCTGTGCTTTTTTTGCTCTTTAGTTAGTTGTTAAAACTTGATTTCCTTTAGCCTTTATATGGTTATTTCAAGTACATTCCATAAAGCAATACGAGTCCAATAGTTACTAAACACAGCCGTCTCATCGGGATGCTGAAAACAGGACCAGCCCCAGGAGAGGAGCATTCTGCACTGATTCATTCCAAGCAGAATTTGGCAAAGAGATGGCAGCAAGTCTCATTTCAGTAGCATTTCCACTACCTATCTGGATTTTCAATTACTCCGATTCCTTTTTCTTATTCAGCACAACTGCTGAAACACTTTCCCTGTTCTATTTTCACCTTGTCCACAGAACATTCAACTTGTGTTCACAAAATACATGAGCAAATACCATGTCTTATATGAGGGATATCCAGGCTGACAGCTCTCTGTTAGCTCATTCATTATCTATTCAATATTCTTAACACACTCATAGGCCAAAAAAAATTCAAGGGTATCCTCGGTTGTCCCCCTATACTCACCATATATGTTTATGTTATAAAACTAATTTATAAGCTTATACATATTTAAAGCTACAACATACTGTCATATATTCTGTATCAAAAGAAGTGTTATTTTCATACTGCGGCATCTTCCAGTGGTTTGTAACAGCATTTAATATATTTATCAGCTAATTCCTACTTGTTATCATCTGAGTTATTATTCCTAATGGTTATCATCATCATATCACTGAGTGATATGCACTGAACACACTTGATTCCACTTTCCAGCACAGGCCTTCTCCATCAAACCAACTCCTTCTAGATGGAATGTTTCTGTTCTTCTCTTTGGTGTCATTGTGAAATATTTACAGTTCAGTAGCTGCTCATGCTTAACTACAGGGTGCAGCAAATTCAGTTGACACAAAAAGTTATTTTGCCTCCATACATATTAGATCACATGACCCAACATAGAAAAAATCCCATATCCTTTGATAACCTAAATTATCAAAACCAAAATACTAACAAGTCATTGTCAAGAAATTAGCTGGATCATACAGCAAATCTTAGAGGGACTATTATTTGTATTTTTATCTATTTCTTAGCCATGTGTTTTCAGTTTTGTTCAGCAGAAGAATCATGAAAAAAACCCTAAATGCCTATCTTTCAATGCCAGCAGCACTTAGTATTACGTCTTAATCTAGATTTTTAGAGCCGCAGAAGAAACACTGTTCCTCAGTATGAAATCAAGCATTTAGTATTATTCTGATAAATGTGGAGAGAAAGCAGCATGAGAATTACCATGAGCAAAATAAAATTGGCAGTTTCCTGTCAGGGAGAGAGAACATGAAGCTGAGAAGGGACACTAAGTTAATATTGATGCTAACATGAATGGCAAAATGTTCGCTATACACGAGAAACTTACCAGTACTGTTCGTCCCTGGGAAATAAAGAAATGGCCAGATACAACAATGGTAAGGATAAGATGGCCTGATTCTTCATTTGATTCAAAAACCTTTAAAAAGATAGACAAAATAGAAAGCTAGTCCTGTAAGCTCAGAATCTACATTTTCCATTTCTAGTGCCTAATAGGAGGTTTCACAGGTTAGTGCTAGAAGATAGGTGTATAATTTACCTCCCAGTAATGTAACTTGCCCTTCAATCCCACGAATAGGTGGTACATTTCAGAATTTTTTACTAATTATAACTCCATATACAGATTTAAATACATTAAACAACCACCTGGACTCTTCCAACTTGATCTATAGGATTTAAGACAAGTCACCGATGAATAAAAAAAGGGCTACTAACATCATTAATGTGTTTACACCAATAATGTATTAAGTAAAATTGTTCCCGATTCCTGCATTAACTCTGGACAGGCCTCGCTTATCACTGCTTGCT